TGCCCCTCAGCCTTACCTTACCCGGCTAATCGCTGCCGCTGCAGCTGTCTGAGCTGGCACAGAGCACCACCAACCAGCCCAGCCTCACTGGAGGCAACAGGTGCTCAGACCCACAATGTGAAGGGTCACCGGCAACCCACCAGCCTCTTGAAAGTCAACTTTGTAGGGTCAACAACCTACAAGATGCAGAGAAAACTAAACTCTGTGCCTTGGGGGAGGCGGCGGTGGGGAGCACCCAACCGAGAGCCCAGCTCCAACCCTCAGCACTCCAACCAACACCTTATCCCAGAGCAACCTCAAAGCTGGAAGGAGGTGCCCAGGCCCGAGGACACCGTACCAACAGAACCCTCGGACAGGATGGCTCTGGGGCCAATGGAGCTCGCCAGATGAGATGGCGCGGGGGAAAGAGCTGGAAGCCGGCCCCTGGCCGCGGCTGACCCGAACGCGACTGCGAGCTGCGGAGGGGAGCTTCCTCAAAGCACGCTGCCTGAGCTGGGAGGGGGTTTTCCGCAGCCCCGCCTCCACCTCTCAGGCTGGGGACTGGACCGGAAGGCACCCAGGCCCACCGCTCCCGGCGAAAACGCCCGCCGAGCCCCTCCCTCCGGGCCAGGCGAGGTCCTGCGGGCCAGCGTCCATTCAACAGGCAGCTCGGGCCCAAGGAGGCGCCAGGTGTATCAACCGGGCCAAGTGGCCGCCAAGGGGGAGGGGGCCGCAGGAGGATGCGGCTAAGCCCTAGAGACTTAGCGGGGACACCAGGCAACAGGCCGAAGGCGAGCCGGCACGGCAGCAGCACCCGGAGGCAGAGGCGCACCGCAGCCTCCAGCTATGACCGCACCTTGCTTGCCCCTCCCAACCAACCAGGCCCGGGCTTTGGGGGAGGCATGAGAACGGGCAGGGGAACCTCCTCAGCCTGCTGCGGGATCACTGGAATTAATTCATCTCTTACATCAAAGGATCCCAGATCGAGACAACATGAAATCTGTAGAGAAACGCTGGAGAAGTCAACGCTGCAAGAGGGAAGCAGCAATGTCGTCTGACCTGTGGGTCCCCAGGAGACGGTTACGCAGCGCAGCACACAGCCCGCCCCCCTCCCCCAGGTCGGGATTACGCTGCTCAACTCTGCCCCTTTTCTCGAGACGGCGACCTAATCTGTAATCTAGAAGTTGTCATTTCTCCCGAAAGAGCACCAGAGATGAGGAAGAGCGGACCAGGCGCAGGAGGAGGGAGGAAGGGGGTGGGACTCTGCGCCAAAGGGACGCATCCGCCCGCCTGGCGGGGGTAACGGTGTCTGTCTGAAGTCACCGCCGCGGGAGCCGCCCCCGCTCCTTCACCAGCCAGGGTACAGGCTTCCTCTCCAATAATGAAAAGCGCCTCTCAAACACATGGGAATCAGGGCTGGAAGAATGGGAAAAAGAGCAAGGGAAAGCAGAGGTGCCGGGCAGAGCAAACCGTCTCGGACGGGAGAAGTAGCACCTCGGTGCGGACGGAGAGGGGGAACAGGAGGCGGGGGAGAGGGCTGCAGGGGAGGGGAGGAGAAGGCGGGAGACGGAGGAAGGAGAGAGAGGGAGGAGGGACGGAGGGAAGGAAGGGGAGAGAGAGGGAGGGAAAAGGAGGGAGAGGGAGGAGATGAAGGGAGGAGGGAAAGATCCGAGAACCCAGCGGGCTTTGCACTCACCCGTGTTGTACACGTGCAGTTCGTCCACTATCCCCTCGTTGCCGCCGCCAAACACCACGATGAGCTCCTTGATGGCCACGGCGCGGTGGCCGTGGCGGGGCCGGGGCACTGGACCCGACCAACCCACCACTCGCTTCCAGCGGGGCTGCAGGAGCACTGCTGGCGAGTTGGCGGGTGACACGGCCGAAGCCATAGTTCCGGGAAAGGGCGCGGTGGAAAAAGTCACCAAGCGAGAAGGGAGGCCCCCAATTCCACTCACACACACCCCCTTTCGTCTAAGGCGTCTCGCACAGAGAAGCGGTTCTTCACACAGCGGTGAACGGCTCCATGGAGGCCGCCATCTTAACTATTCTCCGTCTCTTCTACTCTTCCCCTTCTTCTCGCTCACCACGTCTCCTTAAGAGCCTCCTGAAGCTGTCGAGCGCCTAGACCCGAGAAGCTGGAGGCCGCCGAGTCCCGCCGCCCTGACTACTTGCCTGGGAGCTCCCACTTAGAAGCTCGAGCGGGAGGCCCTGGGAGCCGCCATCTTGAGCCGCCTCTCTCTCCTCCCTTCCTCAATCGTAGCCCTCCCCCGCCGGAAATGGCGGAGCCCCGGCCCGGTTCCCACACCCTCCCCAAGTCTCCTGCACTGGCCGGCTTCCGGGGCGGGTGGAAATGAGCCACAAGCGCCGCGGTTGTCCCAGCCCCGCCGGAGCTCAGACCACAATTGTGGGAGCCGCCATCTTGAGACCGTCCCGCTTCCCCGCCCAGCGCTTAGTGCAGAGGCCGCTCCCTAAACAGCCTCGACACTTGGAAAGAATAGAGGCGCGCCGGAGGCCAGTGAAACGAGCTTGAGTTCTCGAGGGCTGCTCGGAGGCTCGCGCCGTACGGCTCGTGAGGTCTCGAGCGTCTCCCTTTAGTCCGCCTCTGCTGCTCAGGCTGCGCCTGCCGCCCTGGGAGTCGCCATCTTGAGACTAGCTCCCCCTTCCCCCCTATTCTCTTCCTCTTGGGTCAGTTCTTCCACTGCAAACCAAACGCAAGGCAGCGTCCGATCCTCGCTTCCCTCCTTATGACTCCTTCCCACAGGAGCCGCTTCAAAGAGGCAGAGTTAGGCCCCGAAGTGGCAACTGTACGGCAGGAGGAGCGGTAACGGCAGGGCGCTCATGCCTCCTCCCTGGGAGCCGCCATCTTGTGTGAAGAAGTAACAACTAAACATGGCGGCGGCGGCGGTCGGGCGAGGGGGCGGAGTCGGGCGACGTCACTGTTTCCCCCCACACCCCACCCTCGCAGGCTTCTCCTCCCGGCCGAGGCTTCTTAAAAGAACCTCGCGCTGCCTCGCGGCGAGGGACCGGTGCCGCTGCGCGCTTTGCTTGGGGTCAGGCCGCGCTCGGGTCAGGCACAGACGTCCCCAGCCCTGTGGCCGCCGAAGCGCGCCTCCACGCCTCCGCCCTGGGAGCCGCCATCTTGCCACTTCCCCTCGCCCGGCCGTCCGCGGGCGTCAGTAGCGACTTTCAGCACAAAACAAAGATGGCGGCTGCGGCATCTGGGGAATGCCCGGATGAGAATGCCTCAGACGCCGTTGGCCCCGCCCCCTTGGGAACTGCCCCCTGGGTCGCTGAAGGGACACACGCCAGAGGAATCGCTTTAACTAGCAGTGGGGACAGGGCACAGGTTGCTGAGGGTGGCTGACGGAGACATTAGAGTCAGGCTTCGTACCGGGGAGCGGACGTTTTCCTGCTCCGCACGCCCAGCTGCCTCCGGAAAGGTGGCCCGAAGCCCGCCTCCGGGGGAGCCGGAGGCGGGGTGGGAGTGAGCGGTAACGCGGCCTGGCGCGCCACGCCGGGGGCGGAGCCCTCCCAGGCTCCCAGGCCTGCTGTCCCGCCCCCACGCGGGGGCGCCGCCGCGGCCAACGGCGCCCCGAGAAAAAGAGCGGGGCCGCCGCGCGCCGAGCCGCCTGCCGCCCCTCCTGCTGTCGGGCGGGCAGCCAGGCTGGCGGCGCCTGAGGCGAGCGGGCGGGCGCGGGAGCGGTCCGCATCGCCCCGCGTCACCTCGCGTCACCCCGCCCCGCCTGCTTCCCAGGACCCCGCGCCCCACCCCGCGCGCAGGCGCACGGCCGCCTTTCGGCTCCGCCCTTTTTCGAGATTTGAATTTCCCCCAGCAAAGCGAGAGAGGCAAAATACCCGGATGGTGATCGCTGGCCTTTTCGCGCCAATCCTGTAAGTTCTCACAACAACCTTGAGAGGTGGGTACTGTCATCACCCCTATGTTCCAAATCTTGCAGGAGGCTGTCTGGTCGCTGCACTGTCATGCTCACTGCCAGACGCAGGGTGTAATGCGCTGCTCTCCGGGCTCTTGGAATGACAACAGATGATTTTTCTTGTTTCTCTCATCTTTATTTGATCTTTACACTCACCAACCTCCAGCCGAAATTTGGCCTTTCCCGCAATTACGAGTGTAGGCAGCAAAGCACAGAGGGTTAGCCTGGTGACTGTGTCACCAAAGGAAATGACAGATCATTTGAGATCATATAAATTTTCTTGTAGATATCCTGAAATTAAAGAAATTACACGTTACTATAGAATAACTGCTTTGAAATTACTGTAGTTGGGCTTCCCTGGTGGTGCAGTGGTTGGGAGTCTGCCTGCCAAGGCAGGGGACATGGGTTCGAGCCCTGGTCCGGGAAGATTCCCACATGCCGCAGAGCAGCTAAGCCCGTGCACCACAGCTACTGAGCCTGTGCTCTAGAGCCCGTGAGCCACAACTACTGAGCCTGCATGCCACAACTACTGAAGCCAGCGTGCCTGGAGCCCGTGCTCCGCGGCGGGAGGGGCCCCTGCGGTGGGAGGCCCGTGTAGCACAGCTGGAGAGAGCCCGCTCGCAGCAATAGGACCCAACGCAGCCAAAAATAAATAACTAAAATAAATAAATTTATTTTAAAAAGGAAATTACTGTAGTTATTCAACCTGCCCATAGATCCTGTAATTTAACCTATTAGTAAAGAAGCACGTATATTACTATATCATACATTTTCAAAAATACTTTAATAACTGTCTTTCGACATATTAAGTTTCTGTTGTAATTCTGTTTTAGTTTATGCATTTGGAAGCATTTGTTTGAGAAAAGACCAAAGAGTCCTGTGACACAGGCAAAGGACAAGAGCCCTCATCTGTGTTTCTGTGCCACCAACTGCCCTAGGTGACCTTGTCCGTTCACGTCACCTCTCTGGCCCCAACTCCTTCCCCTGTAAAATAAGGAAGCCAAGCTGCTGGTTCCCAGGCGCCTTAGCCACATTCAGTGATTCTGTCCTCAGAGTTCAAGAATCACTACGGTAGTTCCAGGCTCCTTGGGCATCCAAGTGGCCCAGATTGAGCTCTCCTGCTGCTGGTGTCCCACGGTACAGCCCTCAGACTGGCGTCCCCTTAGCTGCAGAAAGGGAACAAGGTGGTCAGGGTAGTCACGGGCACGGTAAGCAGTTGTCATGAATGATACAGGCCAAAGAAACCACCACTGTGACAGTGACAGTGGCTCCTGCTTCAATGCATACAGACTGCGGAAGCAGGAGAGTTTAAGGAACATGTCTTAACCCCTTAGCCAGGAGATTGTCACGTTTTGCAGGACTTCCCCCAGAGACCCCAGCACCAGACCAGGGGAGAGCCCTTGGACCTTCTTGTGCCGGGGGAAGCTGGGAAGAACTTTGAGAGTCATGTAACAAGTGTCACAGCACCTCAGGGGTACGGAGGAGCTAGGCCATAAGGTACCCAGCCTGGCCTTCCTGGTGGACTTGGGAAGTTCGTTTGATTACACGTCACTTTCAGCTTGCGCAAGGGCTCAGTAGCCTCTGGCCAGCAGTGGGAGAGGAGTCACTTTCCAAGCCCTTCCTGGGCCTCCTTGTCTATCAAGCTGACAGTGCTGGACTCCGGTCCCCAGCTCTCCTCCATGCTGGCTGGCAGACGAGAGGGTCAGGCTGGCGCTGGCCGCGTGGGGCCCAGGAGGCCTGGGTCTTCACACCAGGGAGTCGGGCCCCAGGTGGCGCCAGGGAAGGACCTGGAGAAACGAGGCCGGGCCTCAGCTGGTGTCCCAGCCAGACTCAGGAGCGGAATGGGGAAGTGCTGGTGCCAGAGCAGAAGGCATAGCCGAGTTGAGGGTGTAAGCAGGCCAGGCACAGGAGGGACCCGCAGGACTACATGAGCACGGCACTTTGGTGTCTGCGAGAGGCTGGGGCGTGATCGTGTGTGAGTGGAGAGCCGGCCACCGAAGGGTGCTAAGCAGGGGCGGCCCTTGAGGGAGATGCTGGGGGCTGCTGTGTGCAGACCACGTTAGCGGTGGCCAGCCTGGAAGTGGGAAGCCCGGGGCAGGGGCAGCCCCCCAGCCTAGAGGCTCCTTAACCGGAAGCCGCAGCGGGGAAGCGTGAGACAGCGCTGCGTGCTGAGATGGCGGTCAGGACAAGGCCTGCGGTTCCCTCGTGGAAATGCCGGTCCCCTTAGCAACAGGCCCCCAAGGCAGGATGGGGGCCAGAAACCTCACCAAGACACCCAGCGGGCCCCGTCCCGGATCTTCCACGTGGGCCCCACGGCCAGTCTGAGAAGCGAAATGGCAAACAGGATGAGGAAAAAGAGCAGGGGTGCTGGTTTGGGGCTTGAACCGAAACTGAGCAGGTCTTTGCTGAGCAGCGGAGGGCGAGCGCAGAATCAGACCCTGCCCGGCCCTTTCAGGGCCTGAACTGCAGGAGGGCAGGTGGACATTGGGCCTCAGAAATAAACTGTGGTCTACATAGCTAAGAACTCATTTAATTCACACCATGACTCTGCAGGGAGGTACTGGTAGCATCCCCATTCTGCAGGTATGCAAACCGAGGCCCGGAAGGGTTAAGGCCCAAGATCACACGGTTAGTAGCTGGGGGCACTGGGCTTTGAACACGGACAGTCCCTCTCGTCCCCATGCTTGCCTGCCTGATTGCTGTCTTCGCTTTGAGTCACTTTCAGGGCATTGAACCTCTTCTCTTGTTGATATTAATACATCTCTTGGCTACCTGGCCAGCTTACACTGCAGCAGGCCCCAGAGCAGTTGACGGTCCATGAAAAGTCCACATTGTTTTAAAATTATCGGACTGCTTCTGTGACTGCAGGAAGTGGAAGGTTTTCTTGTGAGCCAAGGACAGAAGGTGATTTTGAAAGGCGTGGTACTTCAGGGGCAGGCAGGAGGGTGAACCAATGGGGGATGGCTCCCTGTGCCACCTGGCCTCACATCTAAGAAGCAGAAGGGAGTCCTCCCCCGCCCTCCTCCTAACCACCCCCGCCATCCTTGCCTTAGATTCCAGAACTCGGACCACAGCAAATGGTTTCTCTTTTAACTGGGTATTTGGTTCAAAGGGCTTTGGGACTGGCTTGGAAACTTCCACATTTGTAATGTCACTGAGGTGGAAAAGCCCATTCTGAGTTTTAACAGCAGACCTAGGAAAGATTTAAGTCTCCAAATGCAGTGGCTCGAAGGGAACTAGGGCAAAGGGGCGGGACTTTTATAGCACACAGATGAAAGAACAAGAGCATAGGTATCAGGAGAGAGGGGCACAAAACCTCTAGGTGAAAGAGGGTTCTAGAGCCTTCTAGAGGCCGTGCATAAGAAGGTGAATGGACTGGGTATTCCTGCACTTTTATTTCTGTGGGGTTTTTTGGGTTTTTTTCTGATGTTGGTGGATCCTGAGGCTGAGAATCGGGAAGATGGAGACCCTTTTTCGGATGGATTTCTTTCTACCCACACTCTTTAACTACACTCTTTTTGTAACCACAAAGGAAGAAGGCAGAACGATCCTCCACTGGTGCCAACCAATCAGCAGAACCCTCGCCTTCCTCTGGGCCACTACCTCCACGCGGGGCAAGGTCGCAGCATCTGCGTCGGAAATCACGGGGAATTCTTCCTGCTGGCTCAGCTGGGAGGCCGAGGAGTGTTTTGCAAAAAAACTGTTTATCTGAATTCTGAAATAACAGTGGAGACGGCTGCTCTCTTAAGCTCTCCGACCCGGGTCACACATAGGGTTCCAGATGAAGCCCGAGTCGGGGCAGGCCCTCTTGCACGTGGCCCTGGTCAGCTGCCTCTGCGCGGCCACCGTCCACACCGGCGTTTTCGCAGGTGTCTCTGTCGCAGTGGGCTATGAGCACTACGCCGAAGCGCCGGTCGCCAGCCTCCCTGCCTTCCTGGCCATGCCCTTCAACTCGCTCGTTAACGTGGCCTACGTGCTCCTGGGGATGTACTGGCTGCAGAGCAAGGCCAGCGCCCCGGGAGGCCCCACAGAAGCATGGAAGGCTTGCTACATGAAGGACGTCTTTGCGGGCATGGCCCTGGTCTACGGCCCGGTTCAGTGGCTGCGCATCACGATGCAGACGCGCCCCACCGCCGTGTTGGACCAGTGGCTCACCTTGCCCATCTTTGCATGGCCGGTGGCCTGGTGCCTCTGCCTGGACAGGGGCTGGAAGCCCTGGCTGTTCCTGGCTGTCGAGGGCCTCTCCCTGTGCAGTTACAGCCTGGCCCTGCTGCACCCCTGTGGGTTTGAGGTGGCACTGGGTGTACACATCGCAGCAGCTGTGGGGCAGGCCCTGTGCACTCAGGGCCGCCACGGCAGCGCTTCCTCGGGGAAGTACTTGGCTCTGGGCGTGCTCTGCTGCCTGGGTTTTGTGCTCCTCAAGCTGTGTGATCACGAGCTCTCGCAGTGGCGTCTCTTCCAGCGGCTCACGGGCCACTTCTGGTCCAAAGTCTGCGATGTGCTCCAGTTCCACTTTGCCTTCTTGTTCATGACCAACTTAAACACCTGCCGAAGATGCCCTCCTGCGGAGAAGATGCGTTAAAGTGTGGAAGGAAGGTGCTTACCCATCCTAACGTCAAAATGCGCCCTCCGCTGGCATCCTGTCATCAGTGTTCAGAGTCCTGGGTGCAGCAAGATAGGATGATGACAGAAGACTGCCCCTTCCTTCAAACGTATGGGCTTCAATACTCTGAGGATGAGTATTCAACATTATGCGACGTCATGCTGTCTGCGACTTACTTTCAAAGGGTTAAAGCAAACATCTAAGGGCCGGGATGCGGGGCTCCAGTTCACTATTCTTGTAATTTTTCTGTAGTTTGAAATTTTTCAAAATAAAATGTTGGGGGGAAATGACCCCAAGAAATCCATCAGACTCACGGTTGGACAAAGAATGGTTGTCTGCTTCGGGATGTGGGCTACAAGCATGGGCTGGCCGACAGTGGGGCAGGGTAGCCTCTGGCTGGCGTGCCAGGCCAGGCGCTGGGGTTACAAGTGAGCGTCTCCAGAGGTATCTGGCCTCAGGGAGACTGAGTCATAGTAAACACACGCGCCTAGCAGACTGGTGGGGAAATCCGAAGCCCAGAGCACTAACTCACTGTGCCATCTGTGACTGCCAAGCTGACAGCAGGTCAGATGGGAGTCACATCACCTCAGATCCTCTGTGGAGCAACACCCGCAAATGTCAAGAGGTGAGTCCTCAACAGAGTGTTGCTTGCCGGGTCTTCCCTCAGAGCCAGGGTATAGCTTAGGTGTCCTCAGCAGCTAGGGTTACTGCAGTGTCAAGTGTCTGTCACCCACGGAGAAACCTGGGTCCTTCGGAACCATGATCCCCTGATGGCATCCCAGCGTAGGGCCATGGAGTTGGCATCTTTCAACCCCAAAGCATGCTTCTCATGCAGATGATGATGTTTGAACAAGAGAGCCCCCCTGGGTGGGGGAACACTGAGGCCCAAGAGACGCTGAGGAGTCTGCCTTTGGGTTGCCTGCTTGTTAACGTGTTCTTTAGACACCTGTTTCATTCCCCGTCACAGGAAAGGCATCTGGTCTTTGAAGACAAAGGCAAGGGCAGAAGGGAGAGGATGTCCTGTCCCTGCCGAATGGCGTCTCAGGACGGGCAGCCCACAGGCATCTGTTCAGTGTCCCCTGAGGCCCCTCTCCCTGGAGCCTCGAGGGTTGGCATGTGGACCGTTGCCATGACTACCAAGGTGCTTTTGAAACTGGGTACCTGGGCAGGATGTTCTGTTCTGGGCACATCTCCAGTGGGTGGCGGGTCTCAACCAGGCTGTTGCCTGAAGAATCCTGTCGGTGATCATTGCCTCTGCCCCTCCCCTGAGGACTGGGGCCCGCGGCGGGGCCTGCCGGCTTTGAAGAGCACGGCCAGCATTTGCTTCGGGAAGCAGCTTTGTTCCACTACAGTTATCTCGAAGGCTTTGTGTGTCCTAGAAGAGGAAAAAGGCTATGGGCATCTCCTCGAAGAGGCCAGAGGGAGGGAGGGGAAAGGCATGATTTCTCGGGTGGCTCAGTTAGAGACGGAGGTGGCAGTGTGGAGGAATGGGGGAGGACCAGGGTCTGATGTGGGGTGGGCTCTGATTCCCCCCTGCTTGGCAGAGTGGATCCCCTGAGAATTGGGGCTTTGCATAGCCTCGTTCATTCCATACCTTTGAGCCGCAAGCCCTCATAACTTATTTTGTTGTTTTTATTTTATTTTATTTTTACCAATACCTATTTAATAAATAACCCTGGGAACCTTCTGGGTTTCATTCCACTCGTGTGTCAGGCTGGGTCCCCACAGGAAACAGATGTCACGCTGAGATCAGGGTGATTCAGGACTGTTTCATGAAGAACTACGAACACCACTGTGCCACGGGGAGGGAGGAAAGGGGGGGAACCGCAGGGGGTCTTTTCCACTCTGGGGCCTGGGGAGAGACTCGTGTGGAAGGGACACCTCGGATGGGGCGGAAACCTCCAGAAGCCCAAGGTGGTCAGATGAAATGCAGGACATCAAATAATGTTTCAGTACCAGAGCGTCCCCAATGTCTCATGAGATGTGCTTATACTAAAAAAGTGTTCATTGTTTATCTGAAATTCAGGTTTCACTGCGTGTTCTGTCGTTATTTGCTAAGTCAGACGACCCTATATTGAACCCATCCAACCAAAGCCAGAGGCCTGGAACCTTCTCTCTCTGCCCCCTGTTTTTTTTTTTTTTTGCGGTATGCGGGCCTCTCACTGCTGTGGCATCTCCCGTTGCGGAGCACAGGCTCCAGACGCACAGGCTCAGCGGCCACGGCTCACGGGCCCAGCCACTCCGCGGCATGTGGGATCCTCCCGGACCGGGGCACGAACCCGCGTCCCCTGCATCGGCAGGCGGCCTCTCAACCACTGCGCCACCAGGGAAGCCCCTCTGCCCCCTGTTTTTGATCAGCGTTTCTCAAAGTGTGGCCAGCCTTAGCCACGCAGCTTCCTGCGTCCCCTGCAGCCCTGGTGAGTCCTGGCGTCCGGGGCCGGGGCCTCAGCCAGCCTCAGCCCTGCCCCAGGCTGCGAGGGCGCCCGCGATGTCTGAGGTGCCAGAGGACGGAGGCTGGCGGCCGGGCCCCCTCTGGGCTCTGCTCTTTCCTCTGCAACTTGCCCCCGGAAAGCAGAGAAGCCAATGGTTACCAGACGGGCCCTCCCCCTGCGTCTGGCCTAACGGCTTAGAGGCTCTGAAGCTGGGAGGGATCTCAGAAACCATGTGCGCGGCGCCCTCATTTCGCAGAAACTGAAACTATACATGTGCAACTTTGCTGAAGGTTTCAACACTGAGCATCCGAAAGGCAGGCGGCGGCCTCCAGGCCCTTCTGCTGTGATGCCCCACCTCTCTCGGGAAGCAGTGACAGTGGCGGCACCACCTGGCCTCTTCCTCACTTCCCCACACGTGGCCTGGGGATCTGCTCCCCCTGAAAGTGGTGGCATTGGTTTTGCTCTGATCGTGCAGGTATACAGGCTCACGGTGGGGACGACGAGCCACCTGAGAGCGCCATCAGGGTTGCGGTGGCCCCAGCATGGGACACACCCCCCTGCACCTGTCTTTCCCGCTCACGGTGCTGGGCCCAGATGCCACCCCCGGCCCCGCGCTGCTGCAGTGGCGTCTATACCGGCCACCCTCACCCCGACATCCTGTGCCTGCCCCTTCGCCCCAGAGCTCGCCTTCCTCTGGGTCAGGATCAGGGGTACCCGGGTTGCCTTTCCCACTGATATTATGGTTCAGTTTCTAACGGCGATGAGAGAGGCTGGGCAAGGCGTCAGGGGGCTTTTCCAGTTTGTGCCAATCTGATGGGGGCAAAGCAAGACCTCGTTGTGATTTTAACTCGTGCCCCTCCACACACACGTATGCACACTTGTGCACAACTGGTGCTTGTGCACCTGTCTGTTGGAAGCTAGGATTTATTCTTCTGTAGGTTGTTGATTTCCATCCTTTCCTCATTATTGGATTTTTCTTCCAAAAGTTTGCAGGAACTTGTTTTACATTATAAACGTTAACCATTCATCTGTCATGCAGATGATACGTACGTTTTGTTAATCTCATTTGTCTTTTGCCTTTGTGGGCATCTTAAAGGAACGTGGTTGAAGGTTTCCCCAGTCATGGATGTCTAAACGTCTGTCTTTTTCTTTGTAGCCTTTGGGTTTCTTGTCTATACATCAGGTAGCTTTGTCGAACCTTAACATCTCCTATAGCTGCTTCAGGTAGTTTTCATTATAAAAAGTTAATTATAAAATTGAGACTAATACTCATAAAATAGTTGCAAGTTACATTCAGAAACAAAGCAGTGCAGCTGTCATCACTGTTAACAGGACAGTTCACCAAACTGTACTTGCCGGAGCCCTTCACAATCGTGTTCCATGGCGGAGAGGAAATGCCCAAACCCCGAGGAGCATGTTTCATCGCAGCCTGGGGGACAAAGGAGATTTTGTTTCTCGGCACTTAAAACTGGGCACGTCCCACAGGTAAACATTTCCCTCTCACCTCCGAAAGCCTCCATGAGCAGAAATCTTTGGGTAACTATAAACTAGGCAATTTCTGTTCCCGAGCGAGCCCCCAAATAGCTATGAAATTCGAGAGCGCCTCTTCCCCTTCTAAGCGGGTCTTGCTTTCCCGGTGTTTTCAGCTGCCAGGTGCCCCTGGAGCCCTGGCTGCCTCTCTGCTAAGCGCTGAATTCTGGGGCCTGGCGCCCGCAGGCCGGGAAAGCTCCTTGCAGCCTGCGCCCTGCTAGCCCAGCAGGCCCTTCTAACCGTTTTCATGTGTTTCTAGTCTTTTCTTCCGTTTCCTGCTTTTCACTTGGATCTTCAGAACCGCTGACTTGTGGTTTTACTTCTGCCTTTCCTTTCTCATGCAGCCTAACAGATCACACAGGGGCCTGACCCTACTCTCCTGCCCCAGAGGAAACCACCGTCCGGAGTTGGGTGGAGTCCACTCCCCAACACGTTCCGAGACCTTTCCCACAGGGGAGCAGGGGGAGATGACCAGCGGTGTGCACTGTCGTCTCGCACGTGCTGTAACCTTCCCTAGGTGCACCACGTGGCCCTGATCCGTCTCCCACCGGCTTCGGGACCGGATCTGTGGGTGTTTTTCCCCAGGTCTCCTGGCTGCCCATCAGGGTACTTCCTCCTTTGGTGCTGCTGTCTGGGCCTCTCTGCCTACGTGTGAGCACGTCGCCAGGGGATCTGCCTGTGCACAGCACATCTGCACTTCAGCTGAACTACAAGTTGCCAAATCCCTCGCCACGGTGCTTGCTGAAATGACTGCCCAGCAGAGTTCCCGTTGCTCCGTGGCCTCACCAGCACGTCGTACTGGGAGAGGAGTTACTGTCTGCTGCTCTGATGGCAGTGAACTAGAATTTCATTTCCTTATGGTTTGCCTTTCCCGGCTTAAAATTGAGGTTGCCTGGAAAAATCAAACATAGGATCCAGCAATTCCACTTCTGGGTATCTCCCCAACAGAAGAGAAAGCAGAAAACCAGAAATATAGATCAATGGAACAGGATAGAAAGCCCAGAGATAAACCCACACACATATGGTCACCTTATCTTTGATAAAGGAGGCAAGAATATACATTGGAGAAAAGACAGCCTCTTCCATAAGTGGTGCTGGGAAAACTGGACAGCTACATGTAAAAGAATGAAATTAGAATACTCCCTAACACCATACACAAAAATAAACTCAAAATGGCTTAAAGACCTAAATGTGAAGCCAGACACTATAAAATTCTTAGAGGAAAACATAGGCAGAACACTCTATGACATAAATCACAGCAAGATCCTTTTTGACGCATCTCCTAGACAAATGGAAATGAAAACAAAACTAAACAAATGGTACCTAATGCAACTTAAAACCTTTTGC